CCTTCCTTCCTTCCTTCCTTCCTTCCTTCCTTCCTTCCTTCCTTCCTGTTCTTTAGACTAGTGGTTCTCAGCCTGTAGGTCATGAACCCTTTGGGGGATATAATGGCCCTTTCATAGGGGTCATATATCGTGTATTTACATTATGATTCATAACAGTAGCAAAATTACAGTTAGGAGGTAACAACAAAAATAATTTTATCGTTGGGGTCACCGCAACATGAAGAACTGTATTAAAGGAGAACCCCTGCCTTTGACAGTCTGCATCTCACCGTGGCTGGTCTAGAGTGCACTGTGTCAGCCCCGCTAGCTTCAGACTAGCAGCAGACCTCCCTCTGTCTCCGGAGTTCTTACGGTGCGAGCCACCGTGCCCGGCGTGTCTGGCTTTTTTTGTTTTATACTCCATGAGATTTAGATAAATCGAAATAGATAAATCATGGTGTTGCTATGATTTCAAACCATTTTCATTGTTTTCAAGTATTTCATTGGTGAACAAGATTGTTGGCTGGTATTCCAATGTTGAACAAAACCGTTTTTTAAAAAGCAACACTTTATTAATAGGCTGATTTGATTTGGGGCTCACTTTGAATAGTGTCTTTTATTGATCATTTACACATTTAAGTTGGTGCACGTGTAGGGACGGAATTGCTGGTTTGGAGAGGCTGCTTCTATTTAGCTTCAACCGCAGCTGGTTCTTCACCAGGAGCTACTCCCCATTCACCTGCTGTGCCGCACCATAGTTTTAATTCTCTGGACGGGGTGGGTGGGGTTAGAGGTGGTTTGTACCTCAACAAAGCCTGCTGTGGTAGGGAGGAAGAAGGGAAGGTGAAAGTGGTATCTGCCTCAGGTGAGCTTCAGTTCTTAACACAGAGGAGCTTATTATTTCTCAGAACCACCTCATGAAAAGGGTGCTTCTGGCCTCATATGCATAGAGATAGGCAGAATGAGGTTGTGTCACTTGTCAAAGCCACAAACCTACTGTGGAAAAGGTAAGTCAGGCCTAATGTCCCTAGTTCTGCTAAGCAGAGGAGCACATGCTCTGCTAGTGAGCTGCATCCACCATCCTAAGGGTTCTGTCATTTCTGCATTTGCGTTGGTTTGAAGCCGTGTCTCTTCTAATCACGCATCTCTTCATGATAATTGTTGCTGCGTGTTGTACTGACTCAGTCTTCACAGCAGTCATGCGCAGTAGATGGCATCACTGTCGTCATCACCATCCTGTTTTTCCATTTTACAGAGGAGGAAACAGAACACTTGAGCTTAGTGACTTGCTCAAGGTTCTGTATAAGAGCAGATGAGTCGGGACTCGAGCTGCGCTGAGGCTGACTCTCCACATCCTGAAGGGATGAGTCGCTCTGTTCAGAAGTGTGACTCTGGGACTGGGGTTGAGGCAGAGTGGACACACTTGCCCAGAATGTGTAGGTTCTGTGGTTCTCCCCAGCTGCAAGAATAAACAATGAAAGTTACTGCCAGTCAGAGTGGACACGGCAGTTAAGATGACTAGTCTGCTCATGCAGACTTTGACAATATTCGTTAGTTTCTGGAGACCCTGAAATATCAGCCTTTTTTAGTGTTTTCTCACGTGTGCTTTATTTGTCTGTCCTAGGGGCTTTTATAAGGATGCTGTGTACTAGGGAACTAAAAAGCAGTTTTTCAGGTGGGCTGGAAGTGACTGGTAATGGAATTGCTAGTAAAAGCAGTTCTCAAAGGTTTTGTACAGGAAGCATTTCTTCTCTTCTTTCTGGCTCTCCCTCCACCGTAAAGGCAAAACTTTCACATTGTGAAAACTAGAAAGTACAGAATAATATAACACAAAAATTAAACTCACCCAAAATTCTACCACAAGAAGACACTGTTTACTTCTGCCTATGCCTGTCCTTCATGATTTGTTCTGATGGCATCTGAAAATGTGAATGGAAATCAACATGTATTTATAAACAAGACAAAATGCAGGCTGCTTTCTGACTCCATCCTTCCCATTTAGTAGTGTGCTGTGAACTAATGCGTACACCCGCACAGTTTTCTCTGTTACGAAGTTTTGCCTGGTTTCCAGGTTGTGCTGCTACAAACAGCTTGAGCTCACAGGACAGGGCTCCAGCAGAGCTGTGTGTCGCTGGTCCACTCCACTCCTTTTCTAATGGAACTGCCTCTCCCTCAGCCCACTTTCCTTTTTGTTGAAAAGAATGATCTGGAATCATTAAGTCCATAAAGACTCAGCAGATAAAAGAGACTTGAATTTAGCCTGTATCTCACACTCCACCCTTGATGCACACTTTAACACGATGTGTTATAAGGGATCTAACAAGTAGGTGGGACTCCATGGCAGCCCTGCAGGGTCAGCATGGAAACATGCTTCCGTTTGTACAGATGGGCAGACTGGAGGACAGTACTTAGTGAAGGCCCGAGAGTTAGAGCCCAGTTCTCTGACTGCAGGTCTCGACCTTTTACAGAAATTGCCGGTGTGTTTCATTTTGCAGAAAACTGTGGTTTGTATTTCTTATCTGGAATGCAAATTGAATTTGTTAGGGTTGTTAGCAGACTAGTGCTGGTGATGGGGCAGTAGATGTCTGAGTTGTGTTTTTTAACTCGTGCTCTGTTGGCTTTGGTTACAGTCAGGTGACGCACAGACTTTTGCCCAGAAACTCCAGCTCCGTGTACCTTCAGTGGAGTCTCTGTTTCGAAGTCCCATAAAGGAATCTCTATTCCGCTCTTCTAAAGAGTCTTTGGTCCGAACATCTTCCAGAGAGTCCCTGAACCAACTTGACCTGGACTGTTCTGCTGCCACCTTTGATCCACCTTCTGATATGGAGAGCGAGGCTGAAGACACACCGGGGAGTGCAGACAGTCTCAGCCGAGAGCAGCTGCTTCAGCGGTTGCGAAGAATGGAGCGAAGCTTGAGCAGCTACAGAGGGAAGTACTCAGAGGTAGGAGCATTGGCTCACACAGAGTGTTCCCCTTTGGCTTGTTCTCACAGCATTGCTCTACTTGAAGCTGGCTGACCTGATCCTGTTACTGAGGGCAGGTAGTGTGTGGCGGACCTAGTTCAAATCTTTCTGTGGTCCCGATGCCTTTTAGCAGACTGACATTTTGGAGATTATGTGTGTAGCTTTCTGGCTTTCACATTCCCTGAAGTGTCCATGACACCTATGGCAAGGGTCATTCTCTTTCTTTTCTCTGTTTCCCATGTTACTCATCTCTGACTAGGCTAGCTTCATAATGACCTTTCTGATGGCTGTGACTTAGGTAATCTGATTGACCTCAAAGATTTGGCTCATTCTCATTGTACCAATATTTAAATTAAAAATTTGTATCATGTATTATGTGTTTGTATATGAATGAATACATGCCATAGCACATGGGAGGAGAGGTTGGAGAAAATCCTGTGGGTGTTGGTGCTCTCATTCTACCGTATGACACCAGTGGTTGAACTCAGGCTTAGTGCCCTTGGCCACAAATGCCCTTACCACTGAGCCACCTTGTCAGGCTCAGTTTTTATTTTTTGAACATTTAAACTTTTGCCTAACATGAATCTTTAAAAAAGTTAATTTTTATTTTATATGTATGGGTGTTTTGTGTGTGTGTGTGTGTGTGTGTGTGTGTGTGTGTGTGTGTGTGTGCACGCCACTTGTATGCTTGGTGCCCTTGGAGGCCAGAAGAGAATAACAGCTCCTCTGTAACTAGAGTTATGATGTGCTCTGCTGTGCGCTGCCATGTGGATGCCAGGAATTGAACCAGGGCCCTCTCAAAGGTTGAGAACCACTGAGCCATCTCTCCAGCCTCCTAACATGAACCTTATTACTACTAAATCCTTGAAGACTCACTCTGTTTGGTCTAATGGAGGAAGTAAATAATACATTCCTTTTTGTTTTTATGTTTTTGTTTGTTTATTTGTTTGTTTGTTTTGGTACTTCAGGAACTAGTTTGTCTTCCTTGAGTCCCTTTCTGTCAAGTGCAGTTGAGAAATTCTTCAGGAAATTTTTTGTTGTCCATGGCTTTTGTTTATTATACTCAATATGCATCATTTTATTTTGACATATCTAGTAAATGAACGTCACATTTAATTTTAGTGAATATTAAACTTTAGGGTTAGGGTATAAAGTTAGTCCAAGTTTTGCTGTCTGTGTAGCTAGTTTACTATCTGCACTGACAAAACCAAAACGAAATGAAAACCTTAATGAAATACATAAATTGCCTTTTTATTAAAAATATAAAGTAGGGGCAAAACAGAAAGAATCTCATGGACTCTGGAGGTGGAAATAAATGGGACACTGAAGCCAGGTGTCTCATAGGGAATTAGGTAATTTTTCCTTCATTTTTTTAAACTTATTTTTTATTTCTACTGATAGGTACAAATCTTTTTTTTTTTTTTTCTGTATGCTACTTTTATAGATTTATCCATAATTTTAGGTCTGAAGCTGGGGCAACAGTATAGTTGACATTCACGTGTGCCAGATACGGTTTACATTTATAAAAGCATTTAATCCTTATAAAGCGAATGTGAATTTGCTTATGCTTGCAGAAAAGGGATTAGGCATCATGGAGGTTACCTTATTTAAGGGCACATAGAAGTTGCTCTGGGTGTTCTCCATTGTACGAGACCCTAGAGCCAAGCAGCTTTCTAGGAATGGAGCGGCTCTGTGGCCTTTGTCTCTCCCTCCTGTTTACCTGGGTGCCCGGGTGAGGCAGTGCTGTAAGTGGCACCTGACTCTTGAGCCTCTGCCCCCCACCCCGCCTTTGTTTGTTTGTTTGTTTGTTTGAACACCTATAGCCTTTTCAGCCTAGAGTTAATAAGGGGAGTCTGCTCTAAGTGGAATTGGCTTCCAGATCCTTCAGTCTGTTCCTAGACTCGCTTTTCCCTTACATGGTTGACTGCCTCTTGACTCCAACATCAGCCACTTAGGAGCACACATCATCTTTCCAGGGAAAATGGAGAACTGTTTAGTAGACCATGCTTCCCGGAGCCGCACTGTGCTCTGCTGACATACGCCGCTGTTGGCGGTGTAGGCTTACAGGCCTGAAAAGATGGTACTCAGCTGGGCAGTGGAGGCTCACACCTTTATTCTAAGCACTGGGTGGCAGAGCCGGTTGTATCTCTGAGCTTGAGGCTAGCCCGGTCCACAGAATGAATTCCAGCACAGCCAGGGCTATGCAGAGAAACCCTGTCTCGGGGGGGCGGCGGGGGGGGGGGCGGACCAAAAAAGATGTTACCTTATTACCTCATCAAGCTGTGTTAGGATATTTAGTCTCTTCGGGACTAGGGCTTGGATTACTCATTTCTCTCTATTGGTTATACATTTCTTTCCTCAAATTTTTATTATTTTTTACAATGTTTAATATTGCAGTCCAAAACAAAAAAAGTCAGCTTTTGAAAAAAAAAAAAAGAGAGCTTTTGAAAACAGATTCCTGTCTCTCCACCACGTTCTTCAATTCTCAGTGGGTTTTGGGTTAGGCCCTGGAATTTGTTTCTAGCCAACAGTTTCGCAATGCTGTTGATGGCAGATGCAGTCAGTCCATGACTAGCGCTGGGCAGCCGTCCACCTTCAGGCAAGTTGGCTGCAATTCTCACCTGTAAATTGGGTGTTGAAATACAAAGCTGTGGTGGAGATTGACTTACAGTCAACTTACAGTTTATATTTTAGAAATAGATTTGTCATGCTATATAGTTTTGTTACGGATTAACTTAGGGTTAATTGTCTATACAGGACTCTTCTGATTGGTTTTTGATGTTTATAAAGAGAAAGTTTTAGCAGCAATTAGAATAATGAATTGTATTTATTGGAAATCACTAATGTTATCTTGGTTTGTTTTAGCTCGTTACAGCATATCAGAATCTTCAGAGAGAGAAGAAAAAGCTGCAAGTAAGTCATGTATTGACTGTTGTTGAGTCACATGTGATCTTAAAGGTACAGAAGTTCTCATAGGACTGTTAACTCTCCTTTTTAAATAATCTGTGTAGTGCCAGATCTTACCAGTACAGGAGGTTTGGTAAAGAGTGAGTGATGGAGACCTACCTCAGAGATGATTTCTGTGCCACGTCCTAGCTTCCTTGAGTTCTGGACACTCACTGTGAAAGAGACTTGGATTCAGAACATTTGCCTCCTTGAAGCATCTAACCTGCACTCAGTCTGGGGGTGCCCCTTGTTAGTGTAGAGACAGTCTCAAGCTTTAGAGTTCTTTCGGTTACTTTACTCAGTACGTGGGCTGTTCCTAGCCGCCAGCTGCTGCTTTGTTCAGTGTTTGGAGATAGCTTTACTTGAAAATATGAAGTCTCTAAGGAGTTTATTGACTCTTCTAGTGGCCGAATCTCCTTAGCCCTTACAGCTTTTTATAGCCCTTCTCTCCATCAGCTCTGTGCCCTGACTTTTGCCACATTTGTTCCGGGAACTCTTCATGTGCCCTCTTGTCACTAGTGTTATTGCTGCCACTCACCGCGGCCACCACCGTGCTGCCACTGCCCCCATCTCCGTGCTAGCTGCTCAGTGCTCGTAGCTAATGATAAAGACCACAAGTAGGCAAGGCAATCCCAGCAGCCAGGGCCCTGCTGCTGAGCCCTGTACAAACCGGAAGATGTGGCCATAGTGTCTGCACCAGTCCCTGCAGACCTGCCTGCAGGACCGCATTCACGCCGTCTCATGAGAATGAAGGCATTTTCACCAGTCATGTGCTTTCTGCTGCCTCACTAGGGGACACATTTTCCTGGTTGCCAGTGGCTACTAGACAACTTCAGTTCACCAACTACAGTTCACTTTTTTCTTGCAGGGGCAAAAAGGCCAGGACAAACTAAACCATCATGGCTAGGATATGGACCGTCAGGAGTCACAAGCTCCTGAGTGTCTGTGAAGGGTTCAGCGTAGCTGGTGCTGGCTGGGGTGTCTGGCTGACTGCTTGGCTGATAGTCTTTCATTGACATGGGAACCAGAGGAAGGGTCTAAAACTGCCAGGAAGCCCCACTGCCCCAGTTCCCACCATTGTATCTTCTTTGAAAGAGTAAAAACATGAACGGTCTTATAATAAAAGTTTATCATTAAGCTTAACAGTAGTCTACACCATTGAACTTCCGTCCCAGTACCTCAGGGAGAGGCAGGTCCCTCTAATCTGTATCAGACATTGTGTCTACCTATATCCTCTTTATTTATTTATTTGTTTTTGCTGATGTTAGGCACACGAATCTAAGAAGCTACAAGTTGCTCCATTTCTTTTGTTTTCTTGAGGCAGGGACTCTATGTAGCCATCCTCCTGACTCAGCTTCCTGAGTGCTGTGATGGCAGGCATGTACGTCATTCATAGTTCTTTACCTCTGTCTTTGTGATGGACGACCAGAGCACATAGACACTGTTCCCATGGACTGCTACTTACCATTAGTTTCCTGTACAGTGAAAACACCCTGTCACCCTCCAAAGTAGGAGGCTTATACCTTTTAGTAGGTTACTCCTTTAAACTGATTAGAATTATTATTTTTTTAAGTTCACTTATTATTTTTTGAGTATGGGTGTTTTGCCTGCAAGCCTGCCTGTGACCGTGTGTGTGCATAGTGCCTGCAGAGGCCAGTAGAAGGTGTCAGATCCCTTGAACTGGAGTTACAGATGGTTGTAAGCTACAAAGTGGGTGCTTAGAATTGAACCCAGGTCTTCTGGAAGAACAAACAGTGCTCTCAATCACTGAGCAATCTCTCTAGGACTTGATTTCTTTTTATGGACAGTTACTAATTTAACCGTCTGTAATGCAATTCATAAGAATTAGATTTTTTTAAAGGAAAGTTTTATTTTACATAAACCTTTACAATGGATAATGATAATTAACAGGGTCTGTGTACTCTGAAGTTATAAGTGAAATCATTTACTTCTGAAGTTTGAGTTTATAAATTTCCTGTTAAAGTTAGTGTATAGTTCAGTTTGTAGTTTGACTTCCGTGTCTGTACATTTTAGCAAATGTAACTACTCACATAGAATTCAGAGTAGGTCTGAGCCATCCTATTTTAATCCTTACCAGATTTCCTGCATTGACATGGCTTTAGTTTTGTTTATTTTTGTTTTGTTTTTTACTTTTTGCATAAATATGTCATATAGATGTTTAACCTTTTTTTTTTTTTAATTTAAGGGTATATTGAGTCAGAGTCAAGATAAATCGCTTCGGAGAATTTCAGAATTAAGAGAGGTAAGTTGGTGCTTTGAAAACAGTAATTTAACCTGTTAGTTTGGCGGAGATGTCACCCATGCAAGGCTGGCCTCGTGTAGTAGTAGGGAGTGCACAGGTCACCAGCGAGCGCAGCGTGTGAGCTCTCTGTAGTTCTGTCTGTGGTTTTCCTATGGCAGATGTACGTCTGCAGTGTGTGTAGTCACCGTCAACTCCAAGGCTAAACACTCTAGGTTTCCTTGTGCCTTTCCTAGTCAACATGCTGTTGTTGAAGTAAAATGACCTGTAGTTTGGAGTGGTGATTCTTCTAGGATGGGATAGAGCTCCTTGAGGTCACTGTGTGGTAGCTTTTTATCTCTGCAGTGAGCCTACAGTGAGGAGGAGGCTTTTTTTTTTTAAATTTTTTATTAATTACACTTTATTCATTTTGTATCCCCCCAAAAGCCCCCCCTCCTCCCTCTCAGTCCCACCCTCCCTCCCCTTTCTGCATGCATGCCACTCCCCAAGTCCACTGATAGGGGAGGTTCTCCTCTCCTTTCTGATCTTAGTCTATCAGTTCTCATCAAAAGTGGCTGCATTGTCCTCTACTGTGGCCTGGAGAGGTTATGGAGAAAGGGGAACCCTCCTCCACTGTTGGTGGGAATGTAAACTTGTACAACCACTCTGGAAATCAATCTGGCGCTTTCTCAGACAACTAGGAATAATAGCGCTTCCTCAAGATCCAGCCATACCACTCCTAGGCATATACCCAAAAGAGGCTCAAGTACACAAAGAGGAGACACCTCTCAGTGCTGGCGCCCTGCTCCTCTACCTTGTCCTGCTTAGAGCCCAGCATCAAGCTTTTTCTATACCTGCTTTAGTATTGCTGGGAATGTATTGTTACCTGTTTTTGTTGTACTGTTCTTCATAGGCATCAGTTTTCCTTTAAAAGCTTTGAAGCAGGTGATTTCAAGACAAATAAGAGTATTTTAGAATTTTATGTATCTGGGCAGAATTTTGTTTGTAGAATTTATCGGTTCTAGGGATGTAGTGTGTTAAAAGTACAAACATAGCAGATTGGTAAATTTACAACAAGCAATTGCTAATGTAAGAATGGGAATCTAGCTTAGTGGTAGGCTAGTACTAGGAGGGTGGAGGGAAAGAAAAGAAGAGCTAAGCTTTTGTCCGTGAGAGGAGGCAGAGGAGGAGCAGAGCAGTCTTCCCTTTTAGGGGTTTAGGCATCACAGCCCTCAGCAGGTTTGTTATTTTTAAGGACACATTGTCTGAATTACTAATATATGAATTCCTTGTATCACATTGTTTCATTTGTATTGAAGTCATGTTTAATATCTAGTCTCTTGTTACATTTTGTATACACACAGTTCCTACTGTTTTGTTCTTTAAAACATTCTAAACATTTTTCCTTCACTAAGAATAAGCATTGACCCTTATGATAATGGACTACCAGATAATGGTAGTCATTTTTCCTATGTGAGACTTGTTTTGAATTAATACCTTAGAAGAATTACTTCTCTCTGTGAAGTGATAGTGAGGGGACAAAACCTCACCCTAGTGTTCTTGAGTCTGCATTGCTGGTTTTCCTCGGAGGACAGCTGGTGCTGGAGAGTGTCGGCTGAGGGTACAGCAAGCAGGTCAGGGAGAAAGTACCTTGAAGCTTTTTCAAGCTATAGGCACCTTTGCTTTTCCTAGAGGGACAAATAATGTCTTTTTGCTTAATGTATTATTTGTTCATTTTCTTGCATATTGGGAAAAATAATAAATGAATAGAAAAATAAATAATAAATCAATTGTTTGGGACAAGAAATTCATTGTCCAGGTTTATGCACTTAATAATTAGATGCACCTAGCAATGGAGAACTTCAGAGAATGGATATTAGAGGCGGGCGAAAGTGTGAGACTGTTTATAATGGTATTTTATCTAGAGACACAGAATACTTTTTTTTTTTTTTTGTTCTGCTGCGTATCACTCTGCTAAGGAGTCCCTCACTGAGGGAGCTGACCTCAGGGAAATGGGGCGTGAACCTCTGCTTTGTTGGTAGGCGGGTAAGCACATGTGATATTCCTTTTTGCTGCCTGTTAGTGAGCTCAGGCTCAGGGGAGATTGCAGGGTACTTTATTACAAGAGAGTGCTCAGGTTTTGAGAATTCATCAATTAGAAATAGTGCAAGAATTTTGGAGTTCCTAATAAGCCCTTGGAGAGTGTCCAGAGAGAATCCCTATAACAGAACTGTGAAAACGGATGATCAAATCAAAGGGAGGTGACGTGAGAACCCTCTCTAAAACCCTGTTGATGGAAATGACAAGTTAAGACGCAGAGATGTGGGCTGTGCCCATAACTGCAGAAGAGAGAATGCAAACATTAGAGAGAGACAACAAAATAACTAAAATATAACTTTGAATGCTTTAAATTTAGGGAGTTAGTGAGGTAGCAACCCCAGAACAATATGGGGTTCATATCCTATCTATGTATTCCAGATGGTAGTCTCTAACGTTCTAAGAAAGGGTGATGGAGGAGGAAACGGAGAGGATGCAGAACTGTACCTGGAGGGATAGAGAGAACATGTCAAGGACAAAGAAGACTGGAGCTAGGGTGTGTGGCAAGCAGGTGCCTAGACTGAGGTCATTCTTGTGCCTGGGGCAGCAGAGATAAACATTGATTTTGGGGTTCACCACCTTAAGTATTAGCATTGGCAGCAATATCAGGAGCTGGAAGTTTTCTTCCTGCTGGGCACCAATTAGTCCATCCCCTCCCTCTGCAGCTGTGCATGCTGTGACTCAAGGTTGTGGGGCGGGTGCTGCTGGCGCTCTTTGCCATGCTGCAATTTAGTCCCAGTTGTACTTTTCTCTCAAGCCTTCTTTTTCCTTTGTTCGTTACTATCCTTATTGCAGTTCTTTAGAAGAATACATTTTCTTTGGAGACTCGTATTGTTTAAGGAATAAAATTATTTATTGATGTTAGGTTTTAAATATTAATATCGTAAACATTGAGGATTCTCTAATTTTTCTGTATTTTATCTAAAGAGTAAGTCAAATCTGAAACGATGATGTAAACTTGGAGTTTCCATCTTTTGTTTTATATTGAAAACTACCTGTGATACCTTTTATGTTTTAGGAACTGCAAATGGACCAGCAAGCAAAGAAACATCTGCAGGAAGAGTTTGATGCATGTTTGGAGGAGAAAGATCAGTATATCAGTGTTCTTCAAACTCAGGTAAAAGGGCAAGCAAAGCAAGCAAGGGCATAGATCCAGTGATATAAAAATGGTGGTGTAGTTAGAAAGCTCAAGAATTTCAAATGTAAAGAGAAAAGAGCTCGTTCTAAAACTGCCTTTTTTCCGTTTTAACAGAATATTTTGTTCATTGTACCTTTGACTGATTGTGGTAACCCCACTAATGGTCCAGGCAGCAGCAAGGCTGTACTGTGCTTGTTGGTTTTCTTTATTATAGTAAACATTGTTCTCTCTCTCTCTTTTCTTTTGGGTTTTTTTATTGTTGTTTTGTTTCTCTCTGTGTTTTTTTTTTTTTTTTTTTTTTTTTTTTTTTTTTTTTTTTTTTTTTTTGAGATAGTTTCTCTGTGTAGCCTTGGCTGTCCTGGAATTTGCTCTGTTAGACCAGGCTGGCCTCAAACTTAGAGATCTGCCTGCCTCTGCCTCCCAAGTGTGTGTGTGCTACCACCACCCTGCCTCACTGTATTTCTTACAAATTTTAAAATACTTCTGTTGTACCTTTTTAAAATTTTATTTGTTTTTATTTAGGTGCATCAGTATTTTATCTGCATGTATGTCTCTGTGAGGGTATTGGATCTTAGAGTTATAGACAGTTGTGAGCTGCCATGTGGGTGCTAGGAATTGAACCCTGGTCCTCTGGAAAAACAATAAGTGCTCTTAACTGCTGAGCCATCTCTGCAGCCCCGGTACCTTTTTTTCTACTAATGAATTTTTTTTTTAAGGTTTCTCTCCTAAAGCAACGATTACAAAATGGCCCGATGAGTGTTGATCTCCCCAAACCACTCCCTTCAGGGGATTTGCAGGCAGAAGTGAACACTGATAAAGAGAAGATGGAGGATGTCGGGGAGCCAGTGGGTAAGCTCCAGCTTTGTCAGAGTGTAACTTAACATTTAGAGGACAGTGTTGAGAGTTCAGGATTCAAGCTGATGGAACAGAGGAGGTAGAAGAGGCCCATGACCCTAATGCTTTTTCAAAGATTCAAGTTTGTTTATTTTTAAAATTGACTATGCCTTTAATCTCAGCACTTGGGAGGCAGAGGCAGGCAGATCTTTGAGTTTGAGGCCAGTTTGGTCTACTGAGTGAGTTCCAGGATAGCCATGGGTACAGAGAGAAACCCTGTCTTGAAAAACCAAAAAGAAACTAACCAAACAAACAAAAAACCCAACTGACTTTTTTTCAGGAAAAAAAAAATACAGTTGATTTAAGACTTGAAAATTACATAAACTTTAAGGAGAACACACTTTTAATAACTGAATTATATAAATTATGTTACACAGTTTCAGTCTTTTGAGATAGGGTCTCATGTAACCCAGAGCAGTCAAGTTGTGATTTTTCTCCTTTAGCCTCCCAAGTCCAGGCTTACAGGTTTGTGTCCACCTCTGACTTTAGTCTTTGTCCTCTCCACCTCTGACTTTAGTCTTTGTCCTCTTAAAAAGAGACTCCCAGTGGACTTAGTCCTGTTAGAGGCACAGTAAGTTGCTGCGCAGCTGCCTGCTGAGCGGAGAGCTGCCTGAGAGCTGCCTGCAAGGCTGCGCTCTCCCAGTGTGAAGATGCACTTGGAAATGCAGAAGATAAAACCTGGGGTAGCCAGAGCTCCCTCCAGGAAGAGCTTAGAATGTGACTACAAAGAACACTTAATAGTTCTTCTGGGATGAGACTTCTCGTGGCTCAGGAATAGTCCCTCTCCCGGTTTGTCTTCTAAATAGGCTAGAACCAACATCTGTGCCATTCTAGGGTAATGCTAAAGCACTTACGGTGCAAGTTATACTTGGCATCTTCATGTAAACAACACACAGTAACTAAAGAGTAGTTTGGAAGAGTGCCGTTTGGCTGCTGCTCCTCCTCCTAGTCCTCGTCATTTCATCATCATCATCATCATCATCATCATCATCATCATCATCATCATCTCTATCATCTCTTCTGTCCTTATTTGTCTCAGAGACTACCTAGATTTGCAGGCTCTGGGCCTGTAGCTCAGTGGTAGAGTGTGTGCTTAGCTTGTAGAAGGCTAAACATTGCTCCCCAAATTTCTGCCTGCCTCTCCGCCTAAAAAGATGTACTTTTTCCAGAGTTCTCTTATATTAAAAATTGTTTATAATTTTGTTTTTTAATTTATTGAGTGTTTATGTGCCGTGATATGCATATGGCGGTCAGAGGACTGTTCATGGTGGTTGCTTCTTTCCACCATGTGGGTCCTGGGGCTTGAACTTGAGTCGTCAAGCTTGGTAGCAAGCACCTTCACCCGCTAAGCCTTCTCACTGGTATAGTCACTAGTGTTTTTACCAACTGCCTCTGCTTATGCTGTTTTACCAGACGATGGAGCTGCTGTTAAAACCCTGGAAATGCTCCAGCAAAGAGTGAAACGTCAGGAGAACCTGCTTCAGCGTTGTAAAGAAACAATTCGGTCCCATAAGGAGCAGTGCACACTTCTGATCAGCGAAAAGGAAGCACTGCAGGAACAACTGGATGAAAGGCTGCAGGAGCTAGAGAAGATGAAGGTAAGAGACCATCGAGCTCTGCTCTGTTTAAATGTGTAAAGCCAGAGTTGCAGGCTTCTGCATGGCCTGTGCCTCCTCTGAGAAGCTGCCTTCATCCCCCTGTCCACAGACAGGGTGGAGGGGTGTCCTTGTGTGAGCGCCCACATGCTCTCTCTGGGTTTTATAGCAGTTACTATACATTTGAGACTTCCTGTGTATGCCCCATTACACTGTAAGGTTTACCTAGCTTAGATAAGCTGCATAGAGTTCTCATGTGAGGCAAAGCTTTATTAGAGATGGAAATGAATTTCTAAAACTTTTTTAGGAGCTTCATATGGCTGAGAAGACTAAACTTATCACTCAGTTGCGTGATGCAAAGAACTTAATTGAACAGCTTGAACAAGATAAGGTAAAACTCCCAAATTTATGATACTGAAATTTGTCAGGGGCCCCCAAATTTGCCTAGAAAGCAGTTTGAAGCATTTATATTTATACCTGCTTTTTAAAATTTTATAGCTGCTTCTATGAAAACTATTTTTGATTTCTAGATGTGTGCAGTATTAGCATTAAGAAGCCTGATTCTTTGATTCCGTAGTATTAGTATTCTGTCTTAGAGACAGCAGCAATGGTGACAGAGAAAAATCTGTATTTGCAGTACAAACCTATTCCTCAGAGAAAAATTGAATTACTGAAGGCCAGAGACGCTGAAGGTGAATGGTTTCAGTGCTTTCTTTCACACATTGTAGAAGCAGATTGATCATTTGGATGAGTTAACCTGAAAAGTAAAGAAATGATAGTGTAGATATTGGCATGAAACTTTGTACCTGTGGACTGTAAGGTGCCTAGTAACTGGAGGGTTGAGGAAGGGCTGACTCACTGCAGGCATTTGGAGACAGAGAGCAGCTAGCACCCAGCAAACACCAGGGAAAATCACAGGCAGATAGAGAGCTTTGTCCTGCTTGGTCCCAGGTTCTTGACCCTTTTGTAAAACAGCTCCCTGTTCTTTTCACATCTTGGTTCATGAATGTAGTATTTAACCTAGCTTTGAAATAAAGTACTTTCTGTTTTCACGAAAGTATAGCCACCTAATGGTCATACCTAACAGTGTAACAGTAATCTGTGATACCATCTGCTCTCTTTCTAACTTTTCTTATTCTCATACATTTTTTCTTTTTACGGACCAAGTAAACTTTTATTGTGATTGATATGATTCTTAAGATTTCTTTTCCTTGTTTAATTGTCCTTTTCCTCTGATATTTTCTGTGTAACATGAGTTTTGAGGACAGTGGAGGCCCACTGCTTTGTTTTAAATTTTCTTAACTATGCCTTACTTCTCTGGTTGTTTACATTAACAATTGGCCGTCTGGAAGAGTCCTGTTTCAAAGCAGGGGTCAGTGTGCCCTGCAGGTAAGAGCTGAGCACCTTTTCAAGGGACACTACCCAGGTTTTCTGTTTTTTTCATATGACCGTTTTAAACTTGATGATTTGATTCTTTCCACACATTGACTTTCATTTCTGTATGGATTCTCCTCAGAGGGAAAAGAAGCCTCTATCAAAGTAGAGAGATGACAGTGCCTTACTTAAATTACGGGATGGAGTTAATTTATGAAGTAGTGATGGAGCCAGAGGGAGTCACAGGAGAACAGAGGAGAACTGGGCATACCTGGGCTCTCGCCCCGCGCCACTCAGCTGTGGCAGCAACTACCCTGCATAGTGTCTGGAATTATGTATGTGTGAAAACACAGATGCTAATTGTGTCTTATTCTGGCCCTGCATCACATTCAGGGCTAGTTTTGTTTGTTACTATTTATTAAGATGGAAATTACTGCACATCTGTAGCAAGACTATAAAGTAAATCTTGTAGCTGGAACATGTTCTGATGCTTAAGGGACTAAAATTACTATTAAAATACTCCCATATTGAAACACCCTGGTTTGCTAAGGCATAGAGTGAAAACAGACTGCAGTTTGAACTGCTAGAGAGATTCGTCCACTTCCTTAGTAAAATGTTTGTTCTTCCTCCCACGTCACTTGAACTACCTGTGTGTTGGTGATGCAGTTTTGTTATGCAAATACTTTAGAGTCTGCACTTCTGTTCAGGGAATGGTAATAACAGAGACAAAGCGGCAGATGCATGAGACCCTGGAACTGAAAGAAGAAGAAATTGCTCAGCTCCGTAGTCATATCAAACAGATGACTACCCAGAGAGAGGAATTGCGGGAACAGAAAGAGAAGTCTGAAAGAGCTGGTAAGAATTCAGGGGTTTGTATTTTACAGCAGCTCAAAAGTCAAAATGTTTAGCAAGTTAGTTAATTGCTTAGATAGATGCTTAACTACAGTATCTCCTTCTAGGACAGGAAAGGGCGTATTGGAGAAAGTCTCCATGCTGGGACTAGCCAAGCTACAGCCCTCAAGCTAAGAGTAATACGTGTGTGTGTGTGTGTGTGTGTGTATGTGTGTGTGTGTGTGTGTGTGTGTGTGTGTGTGTTGTATATCTGTATGTGTGTGTGGGTGATCGGTGCTTTTGGGACAGTGTAGGCATGTATTTCTTAATGGTAGAAGAAAATGTGGCAGAGAAGACTGTATGTGAAGTGTTAATATATATCACAACAGAAATCTTTGCTGACCTCTGCCTTAGAGTATTAAAATTAGGTTTCAAGAACTTACAAGTAGTCATAGTGTGGGGCTTATTTAGAATAACTGCTTCCTTCCAGGTGATACAGGGTAAACGGAAAGCAGAAGGTGTCTATCTGCTTCCATCAGTGTCAGCAAAGAGCTGGGTGTTTAACATGCTCCTTGACTAGAATTTATCACATTCAGTATTGAGTATTACTAGGAAAGAAGAAGAAAGTAAGCAGGTCAGGAAGGGCCTCAGGTTAAGGGACATGTCATGTCAGTCATGCCATGGTGCATGGCAGTCACTACAAGATTATGACCAGGTGTGGGGAGGGACCCCTGAGAGTCAGCAGGAAACCGTGCCTGCTGACGTGGGAAATGACTTGATTTCTGAAGGAGCTGGCTGGGATCTTAAAAGGTGAGTAGATACATTTCAACCTCTGCATATGGGCCAGGAGGAAGCAGTGTAGGTAGACACAGTGCAGTGGGAATTCGTGTCTTATGTGGGAAGGAATTGAGGTTGGAAGCAGAAGCAGGAAATGAGGTTTGAGCAAGAGAACCCTTTGCTGCCTAGGGGCCTGGCTGTGGGGAGAGGAGCAGAAGAGAAGTCAGAATCTAAGATGGTCCAACATTTTAATAAAGAGAATTGTGGATAGTTAGGGGCTCTAAATTAGGAAGCTGGGATTTGATTACTAGAATGTTTAAGATATTTTGAATTAGAATTAGCTGCGGGATTTCCCAGTAGAATTGACTTGTGGGCAGGTGGAGCTGAGACACATCTTTTAAGAATATTAGCCTAAGGTAGCAGCCTGCGGTTGATTCTGGAGAGGTTGGCAGAGGCTACGGTGTTTTCACAGTGAGGCTGGGAGTGCATGTTTAGTGTTTATTGCCGCTGATGATCCTTAGTAGTACTTCCGGCCGGCAGTCATTTCTGCCTCAGAGCAAGGCTCAGCTATCGCTGTGTGCCCTTGCGTTCTGTCAAATGGGACCACTATTTTCATTTTATCAACAGGAGAACCTAAGACTATATTTTAAGTATTTTGTCTCCATTAATGCACAGAAGTAAATGTGTCGTCTGGACTTTAACCCAAGCATTGTGGCTGCAGAGTGTGTGTGGAGAGGGCATGAGTTTGACTGATGGAGGTAGATTACAAGGATGTTTCAGGGCCTGTGAGTCCTTAAGCTTTAGGGAAGTGCCACAGATGTTTCATCAGATCGGGAGGGTGGATGAAGTTTTATAATGGCCTTTGAATTTGATCAGGATTTGATTCCTAGGACATAGTTTTGAGAAATTGTCTTAGAAAACATAGTATAAAGTACCAAAGGGGGAAATGGAGCCCCATGGAGAAACCCTTGGTCAGCACCATCCATGCTTGTGAATGCATGTCTCTCTTTTGCGTTGTCTTATGAAGTGATTTGGAGATTTTAGTTGATGAACTTGTTCTCATGAAACCTAAGAAAATTTCCTCTCAGGGAGTAGTAGTTACTTTAAAAGTCCAGTCTCCTAAAGAACAAGCGTTGTGAGACACTGTTGACAGGTTTGCTTCAGTGCACAGATGTCCAGTGTGCAGCCACAGTGGAGACACCCAGTGT